AAAGGAAGGAATGACTGGAATGAGGGAAAGAAGAAAGAAGGAAGGCAAAATATAAAAATATATATATATATATATATATATGAATAGCTGCAATGACTGCACTGCTGATGTCTGATGGTGTATTGAAACGAACAGTTAATGCTCACAATTTTTTATGTTCTGATCGACTTTGCATGCTTGTGTCTGGTGGTCTGAGCCACTGATTTGAAGGTAACAATATGCAATGGAATTACAATGGTGAACTCCTACCACCTTGTGTAGTGAAACTCTGTATTATCTCTAAAGTTTTATAGAAGTAGTATTTTCTTATTCTCTTTAATGGTTTGAGCAATCTTTCATTCTTACATCTGATAATCTGAGCAATGTAGTTGAGGGTAGGGATATGTAATATAATAATCACTGTTGATTTGTATTAATTTGTCTTGAGACCCTGTATCACTTTGAATGTTCTTGGTTTGATTTGTTTATGTTTGCCATACTGGTATGCTGCTACTGTTCTATTTTTTTGTTTGTTTGTTTCTCATTTACTACTCTCTTTAAAATAAAAAAAAAAAAAAGAAAAAAAGAAAAGAAAATACCTCACCAATCCTGAAAAATTCCATGGAAATCACAAACAGGTCTAAGAAACTGAAACTGTCACAGCAAGGAGGAAATTAAGGCAGTGTAACAAATGTAGTATGATATCCTAGGTGAGATTTTTGGAACAGAAAAAAGACATTTAAGGAAAAGCTAAGGAAATACAGTTCACTAGTTATAACAAATGTATCATACTAACATAAGGTATAAATAGAGATCTAGTGTGGGATATATGGGAACTCTACCATCTTCCCAATTTTGCTATACATCTAAAACCATTCTAAAATAAATTTTATAATATGAAAAAATGCAGAGTACTGGCAACACTTCACATGATTTGAATATGGTTTATCCCCTCTGAAGTCTGTGTTGGAGTTTAATCCCCGCTGTAACATACTAAGAATGTAGGAACTTAGATAGGTACCATGCACTTGTTCCAACTACACACACAGCTAAGGGAGGAGGACTGCTCAAGCCCACTCACCCAGCATGGACAACATAACTAGACCCCATCTCTTAAAAATAATGAATGTATATAGAGCCAGGTGCGGTGGTCCACACCTGTAATACCAGATACTCAGGAGGTGGAGGCAGGAGGACGGTAAGTTCAAGGCCAGTCTGGGCATCTTAGCAAGACCATTTCAAAATAAAATATGAACAGGGTAAGGATGTAGTTCAGCAGTAGAGCAATTGCCTAGCATGTGCAAGGCCCTGGATTCAATCCCCAGCATGGCAGTAGATAATGGGCAGACTTACTTTACAAGAGAAAGACCACACACACTGCCTGTCTCCTGTGCCACCTTGACACTGCCAGCAAAAAGTCATCACCAGATGCAGTCCTCACCCTTTGACCAGAAGTGAGCCAAACTGTACCTCTTTTCCTCAACAGTTACCCTCGTCTGTGGTAGTGTATTTGTGTGTGCGTGGTATTATATTAACAAGAAAAAACCAGACTACTACAGGAATCTATAAGAGATAAATGTTAGCTTTCAGTGCTTTAAAAAGCAGTGTAACGGAAGTGGTCCTTTGAAAACTCCACCATGGAAGGAATCACAGCTCTTCATCACTGTACCCTCAGGACTTGGAACAGCACTTGGCACCACTGGGACTTCTCAATGAAATATTTGTTGAACAGAGAGAGGGAGGAGAGAGCACGCCACATGAAGCACTGTTCTAGTTGACTGACAGCAAACCTTTTAGAGACAAGTGCCCAAACTAGATCCCAAAACCCACTTATTTGTCACAAAATGTCAACAATGCAATTAAACCTCAACAGAAAAACTCATACATTAACATCTTTTGGCTTAAAACAAAAACAAGTAACACATGTGGAATAGGTTCACCACCACTGTCTAGTTTGTAGGTCTTAATTCCCTTTGTTATTGTAAATTCTTTCCACTACTAATTGATTGTAGCAAGAAAACTATTATCAAAATATTAGCTTAGACAGTGAACACCTGACTGTCCATAATGGTCTAAAAACATTTTCCCAGCTTTCCCAGGTACCCATAAGCAACTCTGCCTTCTCTTCCAAAAACATGTCAAATAACAGCAGCATTAACTGGTTCCTGTGTTCAGTGGGAATGCTTCATTTTCAATTTTCCCCACGATGCCAAGCACTGTTTAACCCGTTGATCAATTTCATCTGTTTCTCTTACCAGGGATTTCTTTTTTTAACCCAAGAATGAAGTCAAATTTGTATTGAGATGCAGAAAACAATTTAAATTAGGTAGTTTTTCTTCAGTTTATAGTTTATTAAAACAATAAATTCTACTAAAACATTCCCTAATAATGAACTAACTCCACTTTCTCACAAACCATATTTGGTAGAGGTATTAATTTCAGTATACAGTCATAATCCTATTCACTGTAACTCAGGCTTTCATCAATGTTGGTGATGCTGACCTGCTTTTCTCATGTTTTAATATCAATGTTTAACTAAATTTAAAAAGCAACATGAAGCTTTTCTCCCTTCTTTATGTTGTGGGTCAACTTAGGTAACATCAAAATTATATAGTATATATAAACAATTCATCAAGGTAGCTTTGTTTTTGAGATAAAGCCCTTAAGCTAATTTTCTCAAATTCTCCACAAATCCAAAATTATTGTACCTCTATTTGCATTTTCTTCAATAATTTATTTTATCTACCAATTTTTTTGGGGAGGGGGGTTTACTGGAAATTGAACTCAGGACCTTGTACTTGGCAGGCAAGTGCTGTATCTACCAATTTTTAATCTTGAAAATGCTTTGAAAAATTGAGTCTAGGTGCCAATTTTTCCCAACTGATTAAAGGAAAATGAATTGCATAAACAGGAAATATCTGGGCGTGGTGGCATGTGCCTAGAATCCCACCACTCTCGAGGTTAAGACAAGATTACCACAAGGTCAAGGCTGGTCTGAACTATACCAAGACCCTGTCTCAAACAAACAGACAAATAAATAAATAAAAGTAAAGACAGAAAAGAATGAAACAAAATTGTCAACCTCTTAAAGTAGGATTTGAAAAAGCTGCTACCTACAAAAGCCTTTGGCGGTGTTTCCATCTATCAGTAAATAAACTGTCTGAAATAACGACCTTTCATAACAGCACCAACAAAGCTATGAGAAATAACCTGAGCAAGGTATATAAAGAAAGCACTCATTAGATCAAAGATTTAAATTAATGCAGTACTCTATCCACGTTCATAAATTAAAGGACAACACTGTAAAGACATCAGTTCTCCAAGCTGCCCTATAAATGTAGCAGCCACTGATAACCCAGCAGAGTACACAGCGTCAACAAACCAGTGGTAGAATTTTTAACTGTTAAGTATTAACCCAAGAAACCAGAAGTCCTTGAGGAAGAATGAAATGTGGGAGGTAGAATGAAGGTGTCAAAAAAGTATGTAAGTCTACGGTACTGAGAATAATATGGACTCAGGGATAAACAGACCAATAGAGCGAAATAAAAGGCAGTTTGGTACTATCCTATGAGTGGACAATCAGCACCCATATTCCTGGGTAGAAATTTCTAGAGAAATTCCTCAGCATGTGTACCAGAATACACATAAATAGCACAGTTAATTTTGGTGGAGTTACACAAGTGTTTATTAGTCTTTAAACTGTACATGTACATTTTACACATGCTTTTATATAGTTCAAAGATTTTTTTAAGCCTACTTTCAGAAATTAAAATAGTAACACCCCAATTTTTATTTTCAAATGGCAAAGCTTACTTATTCACAACATCCAGAAGTGAGCATATATCTGTATTCTAACAACAAACAAGTCTGAATATGACATACCTTATACAGTCCAAAGCCAGGATCAATAAGACAAGCACGAGTTGATGTAGACGGCTGACTTGCAGATCCCACCCTTGCAGTTTTCTTTACTTTCGGTGGACTATTAGAACAGGGTTTAGTGTGTACATCAGTCTGTTTAGATGTGCTAGGAAGATCAGGATCTGGACGAACTAGTAACTGAATTATATCATTCAGCCCAACATCGTAGTCAAATAAAGTATATCCATTTTCCAACTAGGAAAAAAAGAGAAAAATTATTGAAACGCTTCTCTCAAAATTTTTCTTTCTACATCTTTAGCTGCCCAAAGGTCCAAGCCAAAAACAACATAAAAATTAGAACAAAATCCACAGCACTGCAACTTAGTGATCTTGAAACCACTCTTACTACTTTATAGCCTCTCATATTAGTTAGCATCCTCTCTGGCCCCAGTAAATTCTAAGTACCGCCCATTCACTGCTCCACTAACCACTAAAATAAAAAATATACCACTGTTGCTATGACCTCATGACCTGGACAGAAAAACTCTAAACTAGATTTAACTTCTCATCAGAATTTTATTTAATAAACAATGAATCCACTGTAAGGGGGGGGGGACAGTAAATCTTGAAAGCAAGTTGTTTTAATACCTTGTGTTCATAAAGTCATTTAGTCAAATACTTTATCTTTTTGAAGCATTGTTAAGGTTTTAAAAAATTGAGTTGAAAAAGAAATCAAGCAAGGAATAATTATTATTTTGCTTATACTACAGTTATATTCCACTTGCCTCAAATTTTCCACTTCTATGCCTCTGTAAAGATGATCAAGTTTTATCACAAAGACTTCTAGGATGAATAGTAAACAAATTATCTTGTAAGGTGCCCGTATTTTAGGTCAAAAAAATAAAGTCTTAACCTAGCGTACCTCAGCAGGCTAAGGTTGTAGCTCAGTAAACAGCACTTGCTCAGCATGCAAAATGCTTGGATTCAATCTCCCAACATGTAAAAAAAAATTTAGAAGTACCTCAGAAATGGCCTTATTTGGAAATAGGGCATATTTAGAGGTAATCAAGGAACATATTTGACTAAAGAAAAGCAAAATCTATTGTTATAGGCTAAGTTTTACGCTCCCAAAATTTATATGCTGAAATCCTAACCCCAGTACCTCAGAATGTACCCTATTTAGAGGTAGGGTCTTTAAAGGACTAATTAAGCTAAAATGAGGTCCGTAGGGTTAGCCCCCAATCCAATGACTTTAAAAAGAGAAATGTGGACGGAAACAGATACAACAGGAACACCAGTGTGAAGACACAGGGAAAAGGAAGCCATGTGACTGCAGAGATACATTCTCAAACTAAGACACAAGGTTTCCTGCAAACACAGACCAGCAAGGAAGGTGTCTTCCCTAGAGTTATAGGGAAGCTCAACCCTGCTGACTGACACCTGGAACTCCAGCCTCTTGAACAGAGATTAACTTCTGTGGTTTTAAATTGTCCAGGACTGGACACTTTGTTACTACAATCCTAGGAAACTAAATCTCCACTTTGTTTCCTTACTTAAAATAATTCAGTTGGCTATTTCAATGATATGGTAAAAGGAGAAAACTAAACTCTTTGAGGTTCAGAATTAGCATTTTCCCTTTAAACAAAACCAGTTAAACACTTCTCATTTCCCTCCTTTACACCTAATATTTATCACCATTCACAACTCCCTAGCACAGTAAGATATTTGAGAAATCAAAGAAAAATAGTTCATCCCTTAATAAGTAACACAATAATGATAATAAAACATAAGCTTATTAACATACTAAATCAATGAGTTTATTTCAGGTGGTCCAAGAATACACCTAGCATAATTCCACAAATTACAAGTATTCAACCGTTAAACAGAAAAAAATGATGTAAAGTTTTACAAATTCACTGGTGGACGTACAATCTCACAGGTTGTTCAATATCTTTAGTCTAAGAATGCAGGCTCATGGTAGGGTAGACTAGGAACCAGGCTCTGGGTGTGATGTTCAGTGACACATACATGTGTGCACTGCAACTAGCTAAGCAAGTCTAAGTATCCTAAGGCAACACTCACGAAGCTGAGGCAGGAGGATCACCCAGGGTTGGAGGCCAACCTGGCCTACACAGTGAGTTCAAGGCCACCCTGGGCTACATGGACAGATTTTGTCTCAAACACACACACACACACACACACACACACACACACACACACACGTGCACATGGACACACACACACACACACACAGGCACACATGCGCGAGTGCACGTGCACGCACGGGCACACACACAGAGAAAAAGTATCCTAAGGCAGTAAGATAAGCCCTTATAGGAATAGACTGCTACTTTGTTAAAAACAAAGGAAACTTCTCTAGCCCTGAATCCCTGGGAATGGGGGTCTCAAGGAGCAAAAACTGCATTTACATTTTCATTTTTATGTTCTCCAACAGCCAAAAATAAAATAAGAACACCTTAGTTCCAGAAGAATTGAGAAAGCACAACTTGATTAAGCATACAAATTGGATGACCAGTCTGACAATTATTTTTCCAAGTGTTTAAAGTAAAAAAAATTGGGCCTGGGGATATAGTTCAGCAATGCAGTGCCTGCCTGTCAAACATGAGTTCGTCTCAGTACCAAAAATAAATTTTAAAAAAATTTAAAATCACTAAATGTAAACAGTTGGAAATTAACTGGTAGGGTATTCCCCAAAATGAAGACAGCAGTTAAAGGGGTGAGACAATTAAAAAGTATTTCCGTAAGTATCTTTATTGAAATTTGACACTCAAGAATCGGGGATCTGGGGCACAATTCCTACACTCAACCTAACAGGTTTCCAACAAATGACTGACAGGAGTCAACACAAGTTTCCTTAATTGATACTGCTTCTAAACTTGGTTTGACAGGAACTAGAGTGGAACACTAACCATATAAAAGCTGGTAATAAAAGCTGTAACTACTTTTCCTCATGCTTGCTATGATTTTCCCCCATTACCCCACTCATCCTCAGTTTGTGAGTGTTCTTCCAGTCTTCCTGAAACAGTCATTATTCCTCATATATCCAAGTTCCACACAGATTTATTCTGCCAAGCCTCACAGATTACAGATAGCTACTAATTTACTTGAAGAGGATGGAAGTTCTATACCTAAGGCAACTACAGGTTCCAAGGTATCTGTCAAATTATACTGACTAGGGAGAAAGGGATGACATCATCTAGAAATTACGAACACCTATAAGCTTCTGGCATGTAACTAATCCATCAATATATAGAAGTAAATGAGAACCACCATATTATTATTTAGGGATATAAGGATTTCAATTCTGGCAAAGCCCTTTAGGACTTTGTTATGTCAGACTGCTCTTGAGTTTTCAGTGGGTTGAAAGAGTTGAGGAAACAGGAAGAACTGCAACAATGATGCAAAGGAAAGCTAAGAAGAAAAAATATAGTGCAGTATTCAAAAAGGCGGAGGGTGAAGTCATTCCCAAGAGACTATACATGAAAAACACACACAGCATAACAATTTTTGTGTATCTTTCACATCATATATAATATACAAGTATACACCCATGCTTTTAAATAGGCAAATATTTTTACTTTTCATTCGCTGTAAAGAAGTACAAAGGCCAGCAGGGCATGGTGGCACTCGTCTGTAATCCCAGCACTTGGGAGGCTGAGGCAGGAGGATCCTTGCAAGTTTGAGACCAGCATGGGCTACAAAGTGAGCTCAAGGCCAGCCTGAGCTGCACAGCGAGACCCTTTTTGTCTCAAAAAGACAAAAAAAAAAAAAAAAAAAAAAGTACAGAAGCCAAAGGGAAGTCCTCAGTTGTTCTCTAGTTATGGTTTGGGACCACATCTATAATCTATTTAAGACTATCCCAAGGACTAAAGAAGAAAAGGGAGAAGGAGTACTTTCAAAGACTTTCAAAGACTAGCTCTCTAGATTCTCAAAAAGATTTAGAGCTCTACCAACATTTGTCTTCTCTAAAAAAGACACAGCGGGTGTGGTGGTGCAAGCCTATAATCCCAGCACTCAGGAGGCTGAGGCAGGAGGACTGTTGAGTTTGAGGCCAGCCTGGGTTACATAGTGAGCTCAAGCCTAGTCTGAACTATGCAGTGAGACCTTGTCTCAAAAAAATATTTTTTTTTTAAAAAAAGACCCAATCTCACAGTGCCTTAAACTCAATCTTCCAGACAAGAATGTCCAAACTAGGCTACCTTACTCTTACAGTACTGACTTGCTAGTTGCTATTGTGACTCAGTCTCCACCTGGATTCTTAAATTTTATTTGCATACAGACCACCTGAAAACCTTGTCAAACTAGATTCTGATTCCACAGACCGGTGAGGAGGTACCCATGTAAAGCTAATATTGCTTATCCTACAAAGTTAACCTGAATAGTAACAAACTAGTATGTGAGTATCCTACCAAGTCTTTTTTGACGGGGGAAAGAGGGGGTACCTGGTATCAAACTCAGGACCCTGCTGTGCCGTTGTGCTATATCCCCAGCCTCAATATTCATTATAAAATGTTGATATTTATCAGAATCTTCTGTGGGGTCTTGTTAAATTTAACTACATACTTGCAATTTTGGTTAGCTAAGCACCTATAAAAAACTCACAAGGGAGTCTGATACACAAAAGATTAAAAGCAACAGAGATAACTGAAGGAGGATACACATTGATACTGTAATTTTTAACTTATTTTTTGATACAAGGGGGAGGGGGAGGAGGAGGAGGAGGAGGAGGAGTATGTTGTCCAGACTGGTCTAAACTCCCAGGCCCAAGAGATCCTCTTGTCTCAGCCTCCCAGAGTAGCTGGGACTACTCCCTGACTCCTGTAAATTTGTTTTTATTTATGACATTTTTCTGTATGTGGCAATAAAATGTCTTGAAAAATGGGTGCCTTTTTTCTAATTAGCACAAAGGCATTTACAGGATAGGGACAGCCCTGTGATTATGCTCTCCTTGGAGAAATGGAGGTAAGAATCACTCTCATGGCTATTCGTCAGTTCATAAGGAAGTGCACACAGCTGGAAGCAGTGTCTTCCTTTTCTTTCTCCAAGTCAATGCCTGGCAGCAAAAGTCTATTCCTCTGTCTACTGGTTTATCACTGTGTGAAAGAAAAATCAAATTAGTGAATTATCAACTGTACTGGGAGAAGTACAAAGGTTGCTATCCTTCAAGTTTGTCCCAGAATCTGGAACCCGCTTCCTGCTTTTACGAGAAATCTACTTTGTTGCCCTAAATCTAA